CTTTTTATTAAAATAGCAAAAATATATGTAGGCTACATATAAATAAATCTTAGGTAAATCTTAAAAGCTCAATATAAGCCTCCTCTTTAAATTATTTGTATTGTGTTTTATTAGTGACACATTTGGGATACATTCCCAAACTTTCTGTAAAAACAGTATGATAATTAACTGCACAATTACTAGAAATTTTTACATTTGATATTATACAATTTGCAAGCACAATTTGAAAAATAAATAAATAATTGGAACTGTGAACCAATTTTGTATTATATAGGCATATATATATATATATATTGTCATTACATTCTTGTGGCTCAGTGACACACCTGAATGAAAGGGTCATTAGTATGCAGCTCTATTATGCGCTCATTATGCGGGCCATTGTCTTCTCAGGTGTGAATCACAGCAGGTCACACCCCTGCGCATATTGCCTTTCCAAACAAAAAGTGTCATTTTTAAATTTAAACCAATCTATTGTTTTATATGAATGATAAGGCAGGATGATTTTCAGATCATTTTGAAGAAAAAACTCTAGGCGACAACATCCACTAGTCAAAAGTCTTGTGGACAGATATTTAGTATGTGTTTTGTGGCCTTATTTCAGAAACTTTAGGTTTTAGTTTTTTCAATAACCACGCATAAACAATATTCTCTCAAAAATACAAAAATGTACATACATGTTGATAACACATTATGGTAGCCCTGTGTGTGCTAAATAGAGTGTAATTACACCTTTGCCAGTAATATGTTTATAAGCAACTGAAAAAAGCACAAATGTCAGAGTATGTCAAAACATCTCAAGGACCCCAAAAACACCTTGGACCCCAGAGGGTTAATATTAATTTTGGTGATCTCCGACTGGCGGAGTCGAACATCATTAGTGCCGACATGAATAATGATCTTAAAGAATTTACGATTAGCATTAGCCAGCACTTTTAAATTTGCTTTGATGTCAGGCGCTCTGGCTCCCGGCAAACATGTGACTATGGTGGCTGGTGTCTCTATTTTCACGTTCCGTGTGATCGAATCACCAATTACCAGGGCACAATCAACAGAATTCTCAGTGGGTGTTTCACTGAGTGGGGCAAATCGGTTTGTTATGGGAAACAGAGATGTTCCGATACCCTTTTTCCCTTCCCGATACCGATTCCGATACCTGGACTCAGGGTATCGGCCGATACCGAGTACCGATCCGATACCTGGGTCTGTACAGTATCTATACAGCTGCGATTCATACTAGCACTGTATGAATTGATAGAATTATTTGATGGTGTGCTTCAGACTTATCCCTTAATTAAACATGAACAAATACATAGAGTGAACTAGAGTATTTTTATTATCTGACATACATTTCACAGCAATATATTATTTATCTTTCTTAAGTGAAAAAGAACTTAAAATGCAGCCACACATCTAATACTGTAAACTGAAAAAAGGTATTTTACATTTACAATATATAACTGTATAAAAAAAGTGCAACAAATAAATCTAGGAATCTAAAAAAATGATATATGAATAATATAAGAAAATTATCTCTTTATAATTTAAGGTCCATAAACAGTTTTGTTAAATAAACGGTATTTCAGTTTTGACGTCGGCTGGTCATCCAGAATAATAAACTTAATAACTTACATGTTGTGTCGGTTATATTTATGATCGCTCGTTTGGCTGTCTTTTGAAAACATTTCTCTTCGTTTGAATGAAGCTTTCAGAGATTGTTGATTCTGGCGCGGCTCATCCTTCTCTGCCCTTGCCTTTGTGTAATCGTGTTCTGCGGGGTTACTCGGTGTTACTTGAAGTTGCTAATACTTGTTCCACCCCTCGAAATTGCAGTATGGCATATGAGACATGTCGCCGTTTTACTAGCTGGTTGTCCAGTCTGAAATACTGCCAAACTGCGGACATACTGCAGGGCGCGCGCGTGCGTTTTCTTCTTCGCTGCTCTAAACAGTGGTTGCTTGTGTGGCAACAGCACGACTTCCTGTGTTGCCACAAGCAACCACTGTTTAGAGCAGCGAAGAAGAATTGAGCTCCGATTTGCAGCGTTACGCAAAGCTAGCGTGCATAACTAGTTATTGTTTAAGAAAATGGTATCGGATCGGTACGCGGATAGAAGTATTCGCCGATACCGATGCCAGAATTTTTATTGGTATCGGCGGCATTTCCGATACTAGTATCGGAATCGGAACAACTCTATGGGAAACGGAACGGAAGAGTGGTTCTTTGATCCGCGACTAGAACGATCTCTCACGGTCACCCATCTGCCCTGCTGCACGGGCTCTACTTCAGCCGGAACCGAATCATGTAAAGAGTTCACTATGCTAGGCGCATCCAAAACACTATCTAAAGATCTAGCATTCTTACCATCCTCAAATAAAGTTTGGATGCGTGTCTCTAGTTCTGAAATCTTCTCCGTCAGCCTGACTGTCTCCTTGCATTTATCACATATAAATCCTATATTGCCATCGGAGAAGGCTATACTAAACATATGACATGTGACACAGGTGACAATAAGAGGACAAGAAGACATTACTCACCGTGTTTGTTGACTGATTTCTTACTTACCTGGACTTTATGAACTCAAAGGCGCGGGCGCGCGAGAGAAAATAAATATATAAATGAGCGCACGGGTGGCGCGTTAGCAGGCTAACGTTAGCGAGTTACTAGTGTGCTGTGTTAACAATAACGGAAGCTAGAGATGTAAGGTTAATCTGAGATGTTGGGTAAGCTGTATTTAGTAGTATAAACAACTAGATAGTAAATGATGGCTCAAAACATAAAGAAATACGAGGCTCAGGCGGAGCTTACAGCCTCGAAGCAAACAAACACACAGCAGGCAGCGAGGCAGGAGGCATCCTGTGGCAGCAGGTTCCATAAATAAGGAGCTGCATGACTAAAAGTTTGGGACCCCATAGAAGTAGTGCGAGTTCTAGGGAGAACAAGAGTGAGTGAAGAAGACGATCTTAAAATCCGAGAGGAAGTATAAATATGAAGAAGGTCCAATAAATATGAAGGGGCAAGGTTATTGAGTGCTTTGAAAGTAAAAAGAAGAATTTTAAAATTAATTTGATATTTTACCAGGAGCCAGTGCAAGTGTTGTAGTACAGAAGTAATGTGTTCAGCTAGAGGAGTTCTGCTGATGATTCGGGCAGCCGAGTTCTGTACTAATTGGAGTTTATTCAGTACCTTAGAAGGCAATCCATAAAAAAGACTGTTGCAGAAATCAATACGGGACATAACTAGAGCATGGACTAGAATTGCCGTGCTCTTTACTGAGAGAGCCGGACGAAGTCGATTGATATTGCGTATATGAAAATAAGCAGAGCGGATGAGACTGTTTATATGTGCTTCAAATGAAAGAGTACTGTCCAAAATGACCCCCAGACTTTTAACTTGTTTAGATATAGAAACTGGTAAATCGTCAATTTTCACAGATGAGCATGTAGATTTCGACAGATTGTTTTTTAAGCCAAATAAGAGAATTTCTGTTTTACTGGTGTTAAGTTTAAGAAAATTTAAAGTAAACCATTCTTTAATCTCTGCCAAACAGTCTGGGAGGACAGATGGAGGAAAATTAGCGGAAGGTTTAGAGGACAGATAAAGTTGGGTGTCGTCGGCATATAGGTGGAATTGGATGCCAAATTTCCTAAAAATATTACCAAGGCGTAAAAGATATTTACCAAAACAATTCATCACATCTTTCTGAGTTTTATTTCAGAAGCATCATACAGTAGCCTACTACATTCTCTTGAATATATATATTTTTTCCAGGAAACACAGGATGAGATGTAATACATCCTTTAAGTGCAAGTGCGTACCAGGAGAATGTACTTGACCTTAGCAGTGTAGTTGTCACAGTGGAATTTTCGGTTGGGCATCCTCCCTTGATGGGTGATCCGAGGCACACATCGTCAGTAGTACACCTCAGACTTCATTGGATGTTTCGGCCATTATAACTAGACATCCTCTGTTTAGGGAAGGCCCTACGGGAGTGATCAAGTCCCCGCAGTGTATTCCCCAAATAATTCAATACCCAATATATTTTTTGACAGTCACTTGTTGCCACTTAGTTGCGAAACAATGTAATCGATAAATGCGTTATTTTAAGTGCCAAGTTTCTATCAAAAGCTGATTTACTCTTTTTTGATCGCTATTGTAGACATCAGTTTTTATATTTGAACTTTAAACATTTATTCCAGTACTTCTGTGATAATTTGAAATAATGTATCACAGAAATATTAATACTATTATGAGGTGTAAAAGACCTTTTGTGAAGTGTTTCATGACAACTCTCTGGGTCAGCAGCAGCGCCAACACAGATTTAAAATGTTGCGATTTTGTCAAAGGTTTAATAGGCAGAGGATTTGGAAGAAGATCATGTGTGTGTTTGAATAGAGATCACAGTATTTTAAAGACGAATCGTGCAGCTCTACTGTCTTATCTCTCTCTCAACATATGAGTAGCGCGATGGCTTTTCAGTGCATTCAGTCTCACGCCGCTTCCACACGTCCACTTGAACGGGATATTACGACACTCATAGATAACAAAACGTTTCATCCTCTGTTGGAGCAAGAGTGGCTAACTTCTGTCAACCTCGTCTATAAGCAAGGACATAACTAAAGCAATTTAATTTGAATCAACATCGATTCTGGAATAAAAAATCAATTTTAAAATCGTAAACAAAAAAATTGCGATAGTTTGGTGAATCCATTTTTTTTCTCCCAGCCCTAACACACACACATACACACATTCCTTAAAATGTTTACAAATACATTAACACACACACGTTGGTTTTTACATGTTTTATGGGGACTTTCCATATAATTTTTTTTTATACTGTACAAACTGTATATTCAATCCTCTAATCCTAACTGATGTATTTTAACAAAGTGAACTTATGAGTATTTTTATACATTTCATATTGACATTATGTAATTTATTGTTTAAGTGTTATGTTTATCTCTGGATATAGGCTTAATGTGTGTCATTGTTCTCTACAGGTTGAGTGATTGTGGTGTGACAGATGAAGGTTGTGTTGCTCTGGCTTCAGCTCTGAGATCAAACCCCTCAAACCTGAGAGAACTGAATCTGTATGGGAATAAACTAGGAGACTCAGGAATCAAGCAGCTTTCTGATCTACTGGCGAACCCTCACTGTAAACTGGAGAGACTGGGGTAAGATCATCTTTACTAGGGGTAGCTGGTATGACAAAAATTCTGTTTCATGGTATGACTAATTTTATTTCACGGTAACGATATATTTCACGATATAGTTATTTATACAAGTAGTTATTTTCAAAAAATCGACAAAAAGGCCTTTGTATAATAAATAAACCCAAATACTTTAGAAATGAAAAGTACTTTATCTGTAAACCGTTTTGATAGCTAAATATAGGCAACAATACACACTCGTCAACTTTTAGAGGGACTGTCTCCGACTGATAATTATTAAATCCAAATATTACATAGGTGCAATTAAACTTTAAATAAAGTGTTGCTGAATAATTTTTCAATCTCATGTTATTGCTTTACTTCATCAATCAGTTTGTTATATTTGAATATTTTATATTGAACTATTCTATTCATAATAAATTAGTTAATTCCTTTTAATTTTGTAGGATATTAATTATGTTTTTTAATTACTAGTTATGTTTAACCCTCTGGGGACCAGCGTGTTTTTGGGACCCTTGGGATGTTTTGACATGCACTGACATTTGTGACCCGTCACGGAAACCAGGGACACAAGTCGGCAGCACAACTTGCGAGCAAAATGAGAAAGAAGCGTTTTTTTCCAAAATTGGTGATTTCCGCTTTTTTGCAGAATCTGTTAGTTGAGATCATGAAGAAGCCTCTACATGTTTGAGATAACAGTATTGGTATATTTAAAAGCGTACATTTTGAGGTTGAAATCGGCTTGTTTTTCGGAGATTCTAGCATGCAGTAGGGGCGTGTCATTGTCTGTGTGTATTTCCATACTGAATAGCCGCCGGCGCTTTTGCCCCCGCCCCCCAACAGCGTGGCTACTTAATATGCAGCGCTCTGGCCGGCTCTATCTGATATCAAAATTCAATGAAGATGGACGCCGCAAAGATTGTCGCAGACGAGCTGAAGCGTGGCAGTTACACCGAAAATGTTTTCGCCGCACTTTGTGGGCTCGGGAAACTGAACCGGAGGTATGGGCGCGGCGCGCGCGCCCTCGGTGCTTGAATACGGCGGCTCGGCTCGCTGACAGCGGTGGCTAACTGTTTCATATGTGATGTCCCGATTGCTTTGAATGGGGAACGTTTTGTGAACAGGGAACAGACTTAATGGACTGGCAACAATCTCCATAGAACATGAACTGGCACAGAGAATCGAAATAGAGGATGCAGTTAAGACCTTTGCTGCGATGAAGGCCTGCCGTGCGCGTTTCTGAAACGTAAGTTAAGCTTCATTTGCTCTCTAGTCGTTATTTAAGATGCTGAACCTGCTGATGATATAATGTGCTTGCGGACATTTCATTTGTGTGTGTATACGCACATAAGAAAGTGGTGTAAAGAGATTTGCAACAGTAATCTGAGGAGGAAATATGATTATTTGGAAAATTCCTGTCATGACTGCTTAAAGAAAAATGCCAGCAGGCATTTACCTCCTGCATAAACTTTAATATTGTTGACATTTTGGGCACACGCGCGTTGCGCACTATTTGCGTTATATGTAGGCCTATGGCTTATTGGTCTTTGTGTGTTGTTGCTGGTTTTGCGTTATATGTATATGGCATATTGGTCTTTGTGTGTTGTTGCTGGTAAACGTTGCAAATAGAGGGGCAGCACAATTGTTTTTCGCCTAGAGCGGCAGAAGTGCATTCGCCGGTCCTGGGGGTGAGTTTGCATTAAGCATTAAAGTTTGTCGTTTTGTTTTAATTCTAAGAACACGTACATGTTATCTCATGTTTAGTCTGTTTAGACCTTCCCATACCTACCTATTGTTATTAGCTAGCTCAGGAAAGAAAAAAAAGCTGTAAAGCACAGGGGGAGCTTTACAGGGGGTATGGCTTATCTAAATGAGATGTAAATGAGCCCTATTGTCACTCCCAGCAGGAGAGAGAGGTGAGAATGCACAATCTTTTGAGGCCGTTTTCTCCCATTTTACCTTTTTTGAGTTCCTACCTTCAAATGGCCACAACTTCTCCAAATATTATCAGATTTCCACGTGTTACACATCGTTGGAAAGCTTGGAGACTACACTTTCAGAATCTATGAATAACTCAAAATGCCGAAGAACCGACTTGTGTCCCTGGTTTCCGTGACGGGTCACATTTGTGCTTTTTTCAGTTATTTATAAACATGTTAATGGCAAAGGTGTAAATTCACTCTATATAGCACAAACGGGGCTACCATGATATGTGAGCAACATGTATGTACATGTTTGTATTTTTGAGAGAATATTATTTATGCATGGTTATTGAAAAACTTAAAAATAAAAGTTTCTGAAATAAGGACACAAAACACATATTGATTATTTCTTCACAAGACTTTTGAAAATTGTATCACATAGTCTAGAATATTTGCTCCAAAACTATGTGAGAATCATCCTGACTACTCATTCAGATAAGTCAATAAAGTCTTTTACATTTTTAATGACGTGTTTTGTTTGAGAAAGCTTTATGCAAGGAGGCGTGATCTCTCATTAATATGTGTGGCATTCCACACCTGAGAAAGACAAAGACCCTCCCATAATTTTTTTTTTTTTGATTGCTTCTGTCTGGATCGCTGATCGATTGCTCCTGTCTGCCTCGCTGCATGTTGTGTGTTTGTTTGCTTCGAGGTTGTAAGCTCCGCCTGAGCCTCGTATTTCTTTCTGTTTTGAGCCATCATTTATCATTTACTATCATTTCTAGTTGTTTATACTACTAAATACAGCTTAACCAACATCTGAGATTAACCTTACATCTCTAGCTTCCGTTATTGTTAACACAGCACGCTAACTCGCTAATGTTAGCCTGTTAACGCGCCACCCGTGCGATTTATTTATTTATTTTCTCTCGCGCGCCCGCGCCTTTGAGTTCATAAGTCCAGGTAAGTAAGAATCAGTCAACAAACATGGTGAGTAATGTCTTGTCCTGTTATTGTCACCTGTGTCACATGTCATATGTTTAGTACAGCCTTCTCCGATGGCAATATAGGATTTATATGTGATAAATGCAAGGAGACAGTCAGGCTGACGGAGAAGATTTCAGAACGCATCCAAACTTTAATTGAGGATGGTAAGAATGCTAGATCTGTAGATAGTGTTTTGGATGCGCTTAGCATAGTGAACTCTTTACATGATTCGGTTCCGGCTAAAGTAGAGCCCGTGCAGCAGGGCAGATGGGTGACTGTGAGAGATCACCGCTCTAGTCGCGGATCAAAGAACCACTCTTCCGTTCCGATTCCCATAACAAATCGATTTGCCCCACTCAGTGAAACACCCACTGAGAATTCTGTTGATTGTGCCCTGGTAATTGGTGATTCGATCACACGGAACGTGAAAATAGAGACACCAGCCACCATAGTCACATGTTTGCCGGGAGCCAGAGCGCCTGACATCAAAGCAAATTTAAAAGTGCTGGCTAATGCTAATCGTAAATTCTCTAAGATCATTATTCATGTCGGCACTAATGATGTTCGACTCCGCCAGTCAGAGAACACCAAAATTAATATTAAAGAGGTGTGTGAACTCGCAAGTATGATGCCAGGCACTGTAATTTGCTCTGGCCCCCTTCCTGTTCGCAGGAGTGATGAGATAGTTAGTAGATTGGCCTCACTGGATCACTGGCTGTCTGAGTGGTGTCCGCAAAATAATGTAGAATTCATAGACAATTGGAAAAGTTTTTGGGGCAAGCCTGACCTGTTGAAAAGAGATGGTATTCATCCCTCCTGGGATGGTGCTGCTCTTCTCTCTAGTAATTTGGCTCATAGTCTTAGAGCTAAAACATTACAATCTGGGGCTCAAGTCAGGAAGCAGACAGACTGGCTAAACCGACCGTCTGCTAGCGGCCTCACGTCACCAAGGTCAGATAAATCCAATCACATAGAGCCTCTTTCACCTAGATATCATCATATAGAGACTGTGTCTGTTCCCCGAATTTGGAAATCCAAAAAACGTCAGGTTAAAATTTTTATTTAGTCTGTAACAGTGCGTATCTGTGCGTTCATTCATTCATTCATTCATTCATTAATTCATTCACACACACACACACACACAAACATGATTCACATTTAAACAGTATGCTATTTTTCCGTTTACAGACACTAACGTTATTCTATATCGCGATTAGAACAAAGCACTTGCATAAAACACTTACTTCCTAGCTGATCTGTTGCTCATCCTCGAAGTGAAAATAAACCAGCACTTGTTCTGTGGTAAATGTCCCAGGATTGTTCCTCATATAGCCGCGCAAGACGACAGTAGATTAATCTGACTAAAAAATATAGTGTTTTCAGAGTTTATGGGCGTTAACGCGTCTCAATGTGTTGCTTCACATATTTGTGTTTGAATAGCGCGTGCTCTCCGTGGGCGTGTCACATTACCAGAGATAATGAGCTGAGAGAAAGATAATTAGAACGGCTGACACGTCTCTCTTTTTATATAGATGACATAAACGGAGAATATTTATTTTAGTTTTGAATCGGATCATTTAAAAGTACAAACTCAAATGATTTTAAAAGATATATTGCTTATGGCTGGGTGAATAGTATTAGCTGAGTTGTGTTGAAGATTAGAGACGTGCTCCAGAAAAAAAGTTCACGGTGACGGAGAGGCAGAACGCACACCCTGTTTATTTTCTTTATTTTACAAAAGCACAATATTTTATTTCGATTGTATGTGGGCACATAAAAAAGTAGACATTTAACAGATTATTTTCTCATATTTCTTAACTCTATATGAACAGAAATTATGGTAGTACTTTAAGTCTATTTTTCTGCTATGTGAAAAAAAACGAGCAAAACGCGCCGGCGCGTTTCTGGTCCCCAGAGGGTTAAATATGTTCTCCGGTACATTTTTGCCATGTCTGCTTATACTGAGTTTTTAAGGAGCTTGTTTAGCTCTTTTTGTGATATCTGGCAACACGTCACCTGGAGCTTTAATCAAGAGAAGTTCAGTACTGTCAAGTTCATCAAGTTCAGAAGTGACTAGAAGGAGCAGTATGAAAA